AGAGAAAGCAACACAAAGAGAAAAATCCCACCATCACCAGTAATGGAGAGGAAGCTATTTTGCAATTGTTACCAAGGTAACAGCCCTGGCTCTGACCTCAGGACCCCCCCCTTCATCTACCACCACCAATAATCCCTCCAACCTTCGAAACCTTGAGCAGTGCACGGTAAACAGCTGGCACCTCTGGGACTTCCTGCCACCTACACCTCCTTTTAAACATGTAGACACACACACTGGCGGCTCCTCTACACCCTATCCATTTTTAATGAGAGTTAGCCAGGCTGCCACGTCACTGGAATGAGGCACATCGATCATGAACACAATACCCATTCCAGCAGAGCGAATGAGGGTAAGCATGGGAGGGGTGTATCTGAGAGTGTGTGTCTGCTTGTGTGTGTGTTTATGTGTGTAATTGTATGTGTGTGAGTGAGACAGAGAAACAGTTTGAGCCAGCTTAATGACTAAAGCTCAAAAGCAGAGCAAATACTTGTAGCTGAAATAGATGAAAACATATGAAAATACAGGCTTATGGGTCTTTTACTCTCACAGTGACCCCGCAGCCAGTTTTTCTTGTATTCAGGCTACCTACAAGGACATCTCAGCCGTTTTTGCCTGACAGGCCACCCTTTAATCTGCTTTAGTAATCCTGCCGAGACTCTTCCTTAGGACAGCAGCTATATCTCCTTGCCTCTGTTTCACCCTGTCCTCCTCCCACTGGTCTTCTTGTCCTCAACTCAGGAAAATCTGCCCACTGTACTCTCTAGGCAGAGCCATCTCCTCTAGCTCACTGACATCCACCCACGAGGATTCACATTCTCTCAAGTTTGCATATGAAAAAAAAAAAAAAAAAGGTTCACCCATCCCCTCTGACTTCAACTTGTTTTATAGAAGTTTTTAAGACTGAATATGAGAATAATTCACTTCTTCTGCAGTCTTACACTGAGGTCGGTCAATGGTTCATGTTAATCATCAACATCCATCCTATATATGGCTGGACCTGATAACGGAGGTGAGGGGTTATGCATT